TCAGAAGCTTATCAAGCATGTCGTCGTATCGTCGGAATAAGAATTTGCTCTCAGACAACTTAGAAACCGTACAACGTACACCCTCAACCTACGACCATGCTGTTTGTATTCGCAGCCTCAAAACACATACTTATTCCAATACAATCCAATAATCCTAATCCCAATAACTAACCATATCTTCCGAATCTCATTTTTTCCGTTTTCCCTTCTACCGTAGTTACCGATTATCATACCCAGCGGATTATCCATCGCTGTGTCACCCGTAGGACGACGTGGAACGAATCTAGGAGGCGGTCGCATTAACAAATTGATAATACGATGAAATATACCAGCGCATTATCATAATCGCTGCCTTTATATCAGAGTAATGGCCACCGCACGCATGCAGACGCGTGCGGAGCATGCAAGGACATTACGACGTTACGACGAGGAGAAGTAGAACCTTGACTAAACGAGGATTTGTATGGACTCGCAGATAATAGGTAGTACCATTGATTAACATATTTCTACATGAAGATTGCCAATAATACGAGCCCCTTCCCACTTCAGTTGGCCCAACTATTGAAATCTTAGTTTTTTTCGTATCAAACACAAATAATAAAAATGTAGCAGGGTGTTATAGGTTTAAAACATTAACAATGAATATTTTGATGATATATAGTAGAAAACACCAACTTTATCACTCCCTGATCAAATTTGCACCTTAAAAATAACACATGTTGCAATTACAGCATATCAACCTATTTTCATTTCAATGCAAAATAAGTCTATAACGCATGGGTGGCTGTGAAAAATAAAAGCCATGACAATTGTTTTTATTAATCACAGCTGTCAGAATACGTTTAAAATAGTTTTGGGTAGTTAAGGTTTTCAAAATGGGTAGAGGAAGGGTTATTAGTGAGAAAATTCGGTTGATGATAATTAAATTTTTTAATTCTGGGAAATCAAACTCAGAAATTGCAACTTTGTTAGATTTATCGCGATACAGTGTGATAAACATTGTTAGAAGATATAACGTAACTGGTTCAGTTAATATTAAGGCATGATATGTGAAAAAAGTAAATTCACAAATGCCGACTGAAGAACATTAAGAAGAGTAATCGTGTAAGACAGGCGTGCCAATTATTTACAATTAAGTGCTCTGTGGAGTGCCGCTGTTGGAAGGAGAATTTCGAGGTCCACAACTCATAGAGAGGCCCACAAACTGGGATTTACCACTTGCAAGGTAAGTTTTCTTATAAAAAAAAGTGAAGTAAAAACCCTAAAGTTGCACAACTTGTTTATAGGCCAAAGAAGAGCCACTGCAAAAGAAAAATGGGCTTAGATGGGCTAAAGAACATAGACAATGGACACATCAACAATGGTGTGCAATACAATGGTGAGGCCCGATTCGAAGTTTGAGTTGGTGACAGTCTCAGTTATTCGCAAAAAAATGAAGCATTCCATGTTGACTGTCTGAAGAGAAAAGTGAAATTTCCAGCATCCATTATGGTCTGGGGCAGTATGTCATCAAAAGGAGTAGGAAAACTTCATTTTATTGATGGAAATGTGGATTTGGCAATTTTAGAAGAATCGCTTTTACCAGTGATGGAAGAATGTTTGACATCCGGCCAAGATTTTGTTTCAGCAAGATGGTGCATCGTGCCATACCTCAAAAAAGGCTATAAAATGGATAGAAGAAAATAATGTACCACTTTTAAAATGGGTTTCTAGCACTCCAGATCTGTCACCTATTGAAACTTTGTGGCACGAGATGAAAAAGGTTCTACGACAACATCCTGCTCGTACAATCACCGAACTGAGACAAAAGCTTCAAGAAATATGGGATTGTTTTACACCAAATTTTTGCCAAAACTCGGTTAACACTATGCCAAAAAAGAATTTCAGCCGTAATAAAAAATAAAGCTGATGTTACCCAATGGTATTCTTTCAATTGTTGCTTTGTTAACTTCGCGCATTTATTCGCACATTGTTTATTTGTTCAGATGTTCTATTAGTTATAGATCTAAGTGATTTCAAATATGTATTTTTTACGACTAGAGTGTATCTAAAATGTTTTTGAGAAAATGAATTGTTTTAGAAGTAAATAGTTTCGTCATGTTTAGTTTATAAAGGCATATTTTGGTACAAATCTTGAAGTGGGCCAACTGAAGTGGGAAGCGGCTCGTATACTGTATTCAACATCCTCGGAAAATGTCATAAATAAGTTTAATCAGTATTTCAGAGATTTTCAAATAGAAATAGTAAAAAAAGCATCACATAGCTACAGCTATCAACAATGTGAAAATGAGTTCCAACATGCAAAAGGGAAGATGTTATTATATCCTTTCACTGAGATAGAATTTTTGGAACTCATCAACAAAAAACTTAAAAACAAGCCTTTCTCTGGTGCTGACGATGTGCCAAACTTCCTAGTAAAGAGAGCATTAAGAGACATGGTTAAGCCTCTAGTGTTCCTAGTAAATATCTCCTTTTGTAGTGGGGATATCCCAGAAATACAGGAAACTGGTAAAGTCACCCCAATATATGTATAAAAAAGACGATCCTTCAACTATAGACCAATTACTGTACCCTCCTTGCTTCTCGAAAATTTTCGAGTACAGTTTTCTGGACAGGCTGGAAGTATTCTTCGACAGAAAATGTATTCTCTCCCAGAATCAGCATTTCTTTAGGGGTGTAAAATCAACAATAACTGCAATATTCACTCTTTTCTTGAGGCAATAATTTGTACTGTTGAGGCAGGCGAGTGCCCTGTTCGGGATCACAATATTTTGCTCAGCCAAACCGGAGTATCTGAATCAGCTTATAGTTGGTTAGAGTCATTTCTCAGGGGTCAGGAGCAATACGTATAGATAATACAATTGTGCAAGTGAAATCCTCATCAACCACTATCAACGTGGGTGTGCCACAAGGATCCATTTTAAGACCAATTTTATTTAGCATCTATATCGTTGATATAGATAAATGTTTTGCTGAAGCAAAGTTCACTTTATAAGCAGATGACTGATATCTATTACTGTCTGACGTCTGTGATGTACATTATATGTAAGTGTAATAGTCTGTTGATTGTTTTAGATGAGTGGTTCTCGAGGCACCACCTGTATCTCAATTTGAATAAGATTTCAGCACCAAGGTTCCACAATGATCAAAAAAGAGCTCAATCCCTTAGGTCTTAAAATCAAAGATGCAAACCTTCAATTAGAATACCTCGTAAAGTTCTTAAGAATTCACTTTGACGACAACCTTAGTTTTAGAATACACTGTGACTATGTAGTTTCAAGACTGAATTCACAGTCATTATCATGAAAAATTTGAGAACTATTCTAACTGAGCATCAACTGATAACACTATACGAGTATTATGCTCAGGTTGAGACTAGGTTGAGATTGAGACTGTGCTACTGCGGCTGCTCATCATCTGCTCAGTGCGTGTTTGTAAGTCAGAAAAAGTTTTTAGTATGTATGGTAAGTCCAGGCTTAGCTGTAGAGACTTATATAAAAAGTATCTTCTACTGACCCTACCCTCATTATTTATTTTTCGAGATGGCCATATACACCTTCTCGAACCAGGACAATTTTCTTTTAAATAACCAAATTCATGGCACACTAGGCAAAGCACCCATCTGAATATACTGTTCGCGAAGTATAATTCTTCTAGAAAGTCACCGAATGTGTTAGGACCTAGAATTTTTAATAGGCTTCCCGAAGATATTAATGCAGTCAGTCCGTTATCAGCTTTAAAAAACGCTTGAAACATTTTTTCCTTGACAAATGCTTTTACGCCGTCAATGAGTTTATTCGCTTATAGGTATTTATTTAATTTTGACTAATCCAGTACATGTACATTCATGTCAAGATGGAAAATAAATATTATTATTATTCCGGTGTCCAAAAAGGGAGCTGAAAGGTACTGGTGGCATCTATAAAACAGGAGCAGAACACAAAAACTTTGACAACTCGTTAAAAATCAGTAGGACGATAGAGTTAACTAATTTTTGTTCTGTGAATAGAAACTGATATTACAAATTATGTATCTGATCATTTTTCCTAAAACATACCTGAAGCCTAACGAAATAAAGTGGCGCTTGGCCATGTAGCGCTTTAAAAAAAATGTACATTTCTTCTTGTATTCAATGACCACAACCCAAATGTCTTGGTCTTGTTATGCAAAACAAATAATAACATGGATTTCAAATTGTATATTCTTAAATTATGTACTCATTTGAACATTAAATGAAACACATATTTTAGGAAGGAATCAAGAACCTGAATTGAAAACTGTATTATTATACTCAAATTCTTAATCTGGTTGACTATTGAACCCAACTATATCTTCCTCAATACTTGCATCACCAACTGTATCTTGCCATTCTTGGGTATGAAACTTAGTAATGATTTTAAATCTAGCTTCTTTTCTGATATAGGGTTTGCATTGACCCACATACTTTCCCGGGGTTTACAAGGTAATTCTTGAATCGGAATATTCGATGGTCTGTCAAGTATTTTCTCTCAATATTGATCTCTTCAAAGTCGGCTTCAAAATCGGTTTTACAAAAATGCTAAAGGCTTATCTTAACACGTTAACTGCCACGTGAATCAACTGTGTCTCATAGGTTATAAATTCAGTGAGCCATGTGAATCATCCTTGATTCACGTGAAAACTATTAGGTTTATATCTGTAGCTCAGCGACGATTCACAGCGGCCGCATAATAACATGGTAGTTGAACAACCGTGGCCTCGCAAATAAAATGAGGTAGTTAGCCTACGTAAAAGTTTGTTTATTTTGTTTATATTTAGGCACTAAGTGCAAATTATTTTAACTTTTATTAATTCAAGACAAACTTTATGCTGGATGCTTTTTATTGAAACAAAAACGAAGTAAATACAAGTATAGGAACGAATTAGCTACATAAAACAACAAGAACAACTATTTTGTACAAACATGAGATTCTGTGAAGCAAGTCACGCAATAGTGTTTATCGCATTGAATGCACTTCCATCTAGTTTGTAACAGTGGTTTTGGCTGCCACGGTTCTTCCCTTTTCTTTTGATATATTACAGTAGCAAATGCAACATCTTCGCCTATTAGAAGTGTTGACATCTTCTAAAATATGTTTTATTTGATTTGCTTGCGTATCTTCTTGCTCGTTCTGGTGTTCTTGTGGGAAATTTAGAAGGCATGAAGCAACTTCTTCTCTGAATGTTGTTATAGTCATTTTTTGTCCAGTTACTGCTTTGAACAGGATATATGCATTTACCATGGCCGATCCTAGAATCAATTCCACGGCAATTTTTCTTTACCATTTTATCCCTTTTCTCAAAGCTGAGGAATATGATTTGATCTGATCCGATAAATCGATAAATGCTTTGCATGTGTTATAGTCAGCAACAACGTCGGGCTTTTCTACTTCCGCATTACGTCGTGATCTCACTGTAACCATTTGGCCAGTATGTTTAGTAGATAAAGTAAGGACTTCCCTTTTGTCGTGCCATTTTGTTATTACAACTCCCGTATTACTCTCTTGACTGTATGATTCACCCTTCTTCAGCTTTTTGTGTATAACATCTTTCGGATTATTTTTACGATTTTTTCTTAGCGTACCCACTAAGTGAGTTTTTTTCTCGAGTAACTTGTGTGCTAGCTCCATACTGGTGTAGTAGTTATCTACATAAATGCATCGTCCGCAGTTCAAAAGTGGTTCGCAAATGTTCATAACGATGTTCGTTGGTACGCTTGACCCTTGCACTTGTTCCTTGCCACAATAGATTTTCAAATCATAGGTATAGCCTCCATCAAGACATAATTTATACAATTTCACTCCGAACTTGTGCCGTTTATTCTTGATATACTGAATAAAAGCCAGCCTTCCACGGAAAGGGACAAGCGTTTCATCCACGCATATCTGGTCTTTGGGAATGAAGTACTTTTGAAAGTTCGTTCTAAGCTGCTCCAGGAGGGGTCCAAGTTTGTACAATCTATCAGAAGTGTCGGCTGTTTGATTATCTTGAAAATGCCAATTCGCCAACAACAACTCAAATCTGTTGCGCGACATCACGCCTGCAATTTGGTTCACATATATCTTCTTTTTTGACCAATAGTCTGCCAGTTTAGGAGCACGAAACAAGCCCATCCAAATTTGAAGACCAATGAAAGTCATAATTTCGTCAGAATTGGTATCTTTCCACTTATTTATTCGAGACCACTTTAGTAGTGTCGATTCTTTTTTCTGTGCAGCGAAACGATTTGTTTCCCTCACAATATTGTTTACGACATTTTCGTCAACCATTAACTTGAAGAAAAAAATAGGAGACTTGTCAACGTGTTCAAATAAAGCATTTACAACACCACTTTCGGGAATGTCAATCGGAAAGTCCTTGAGATATTGCTCAGAAACTTCTTGCCACATCAGTGATGGAACCAGTTCCTCATTTTCATCTGAGCTGTCCAGTTGAAATTGATGAATAACCGCTTCTATGGTGTCCAGAATTGAATCATTTTGATTTACTTTCTGAGAAGACGATGAATCATCAGTTCTGGTAAGAAGCTGTCTACTAGTACCTTCTCTGCCAACATCAGAAGATGCTATTGGATGATCCACTGTTTTTTTCTTTTTTACTAATGGTTCGTTACTGCCTTTCGAGCTATATGAAGACGATGAATGAAAACTATCAGGTTCATATTCATCTGAGGAAGCTTCAAAAGGATCGGCCTCTTCATCGGAAAACATCTCGTCCATTAGTTTTTGCAGACGTTGCTGTTCTTTCTCATAGCTATCCATTTATCTTAAGAAAAAACATAAAATTAATTGTTGTAATGAAATGTTAACAAAAAACCTTACCTTGGTTAATAAAAACCGCAAATTCTCTTTACTGTATCGCTAATATAACCATAGACTAAATGAAGAATCAACACGTGGTGATCACCGAGAATAGATAGGTTATGTTTTACATCACACATGATTCATGTGGCCCTCTGTGCAAATTTGGTTAACCAGGCCACGTGAGACACACTTGATTCACGTTCAAAAACACAATTTTTGACAGCTATTGACGAGTAATAAATATCGTGTCAACATTTTTATGAATTTGAAAGTATAATAAACAATTTTTAGCTTGTGGCCCAGGGGATCAAATTTTTTTTATATTGTGGCAGTTAACGTGTTAAAGCACCATAGTTTCTCTAATTTTTAATGAAGTTTTTACTTTTCATATTATTATGTTTTTCAAAAAGGTCCCCTGCTTATTTTTTGAATGGTGCAAGTTAGCAAGCTGAAATTCGAGATGATAAAATTAACGCATGAATACCATATTTAACGTATAAACATTAGTAGAAAATTTCAAGATGGCGGCTGGGCACTACTGACTGCAGCTTGCTCCTAAAGTTATACGAGTAAATTCATTTTCTCACACCAGAGGGAATAAGTCTGCAAACTGGAATCTAAGCTCAAAGATCCTCAAGATAGTTCACAAGTAAGTCGCAATATTAAAGCATTTTAAAGAGCGTTTTGTGTTCTTTTTTTAAATACTTGAAGAAAACTGACACTGACATACGCCGCTCTCATGGACATATCACTTTCCTTGCGTCCCCGCCTAAGGTATGACTTGCACTAGGTGACTAACAGCCAATTATATGACAGTTGGTCACTTTATACAAGACGTTGGAAAGGCGTTTGCTAACACTACACATCATTTGGTCACGTGTTGTGAAATGAATAACAACAAATATTACGTAGAGCATAAAATATTTGAGCTCTTGAATGCCAGTTCTCTATGTTGCTTGCTTATTGTTAAAAGAAAATTGAGTTGCTGCACATCAGATGGTAGCAAGGCCTGAAAATTTATCAAATGGCACTTAGTCAAATTATGCATAATGCGGCCCAATTGAGAATTCTACTTTGAACAGAGTTAACGTGTTTCGTTTTGCTTCTGTGTCGATGACGCCAGGATCTTCAATCACTTTTGTCCTCTCAAATTTCTATTTTAATTGGGTGAAGATGGCCTTCAAGCATCAACGTGTTTCACCTGCAGATATCCAATTCAAATAGGCATTAGATAAGCCACAAACGAATTGAATATCCTAGCGCCATCTGTGAAACATTTTGAAAACGAAACACTGAAACTTTTTAACGTAGGTTTTTAAAAAAAATCATTTTTGCTTTCTGCTACTGTCACATTGCTGGCTCTAGTACCATTCGGATCCCTTTTTGAACGCCGAATACAGTACAGGGAGTAAACAATATGCCATAATTACGAGGGCGCATCCTTGAACCCAAGTAAAAAAGTTCATAGAAATATGTGTCCTAAAAAGTTTCCAAGATGCAGGGTGTCAAAGTATAATAAAAATCTTGGTATTTTATTAATGTCAAAAATATCCTTACACCAAGCTTTGTGAACTTTCGTAGTGTTGTCCATTGCAAATAGAAATCTTACGTTAGCACTTACTAGAAGACAATTATCCAGTGACATCTCGGACGGCAGTCTCACGAATAAGCTATCTACGCCACTGACATTAAAAATATACGTTTTCTTACGATTAATCAACGAATGATACAACTTTTTTTCTCTTACTATCTCTTCGTATCTTACTTTGTTTTCGATAAAAAAGCATGAACAACTGCATTCCATGTTGGAAAATCGTTAAAATATGAGAGCAGACGCTTGCGTAGTCGCGATAGGTGGACATTTCTAACATTTTTTGTACATATTTTGTAAAAATTAATGCAATCCGTTCCTCATCTTTTAAAAATGACCTATAAATAAATATTCTACCTCGATCAAATAAAATGGTTATTTTAACAACTTTTCGTACATTTTTTGACATCATTATTCGTGAGACTGTTTCCTGAGACGCCACTGGAATTCATAATTATGTTCTAGTTAGTGCTAACTTAGCGTATTATTGCAATGAATAGCACTGCCAAAATTCAAGAAAATCGATACAAGGGTCTGTGAGATATTGATAAAAAAATATTTTATCAGCTTTGCCAATCTGTATCTTGAACACCAGACTTTTTAGGACACGTGTTCAAATGAACTGTTCTAGTTAAATTTGATTCAGGAATGTAATTACTTCCGATCATTAAGTAACACCCTGTATATGGTTAGCTATCTTCAGGTAGAATACGTTTTTCAATGGTATCTAATGATATTTTTGCTAACCTAGCCCCACGTAGCGCAACATAAACATTAAGAAGTAGAGGCTATATATATTTTATGTTTTCTGAGTTTCTGAGAGGTAGCTTTACGTATCGTACATACGTGGGATGGCGGAACCTGGTAGTAGATAAAATGAGCATGCACGCGATTTGTTTTCATCTACAAGTCAGTATTATTTCTCGCATGTCAGATCCATAAACAATACACATGCAGCATTTGTAGTCAAATGTTGTATAACAATTAACTGTTGTGTTACGATAATAGTTCTGGTAGAGTTTTGCGTTTTCGGAGGACTTTTGGCGTTTCCGGGACGATGGACGAGGGTGGCGTAATGCTACATTAAAAAGACAGATAACCTCATGCTCGCGTGACGCTGTGGAGGGCTGGACGTCCTTTTGGGAGCGGGAATGTCTCCCCAAAGCGATTCTGGGCTTTTCTGGTTTTACACGGTACCATCTTAAAGTTGTGATGATGTTTTCCGCGACTTCAGGACTATTCAATCCATTGTTGCAACATACTGGGTATGAAGAGGAGAAAAAATTAATGAACTGTCACCTGGGAGACAGATAAACAATATATAGTCGAAATCACGAAAGATGACAATTACGTCATCATTTTAGTCTGTAGTAAAGACAAATGACAGCGATTTGTGAATATATTTAATGAAGCTTCTGATATGTTAGACAGAGACAAACAGAATTTTATTGTCTAAACAAACAGCATTGCTAATTTGCATGTATCTGACAAAGATAGAGACGATGTTTTCATGTTGCATGATCGATCATATTTGAAAGATGAATAGTAAGGTTATGTTAAAGCAGGTTATGTTGTTTTCTAATAATACTTTGGTCTTTGGTGTTCCTGTCTTAAGGTATTCTACTCATAACTGTTTTTTCAAAACAAAAACTCCCCACTAAAAGTATTATTAAGGTATCCACTCAAAACCATGAAATAAAATGAAAATAGAAATAATCAGTGAAATAACCTAACTTCGCAAAATCATAATATAAATTTGTTGTCATTATGTTCCTGACTCGCGATTTTATCATCGACGTACGTC